ACGAAGAACCACACTGCTCAAAATTATACTGTGAGTTTCCGCTCTTCTTTGTTTGAAAAGTTAAAGGTTTACAAATGACAACCATCCATCCATCCATCCATCTATACATACATACATACATACAGCTTTTGGGGACAATATTTTTATATTATATTTCAATTTGAATATGAATCACACTTTAAAATCCCCATTAAAATTAGACAAATCCTATTCTATATTACAGCACACAACCCCCAAATGACATGGTATGTGCCTCTTGTTACCATCACATTGTTGGTCACACGCCTTGATTAAGAACTGTAGTGTCATATACTGAGCAGACAGTGCAGGCCAAGTATTTTAACACTTAAAGGTCCAGTGTGTAAGATTTAAGTGAAAGGGAACTATTGGCAGAAATTTTATGTAGAATAACCCTCTACATAATGATGTTTTCATTAGTTTATTTAATCTAAATTGTATGAATTGTAGTTTTCTTTACCCCAGAAAAGACCCTCTCTACTGAGGCAGCCATGTTTTTTACATTAGTCCAGACTGGACAAACTAAACACAGTTTGAGTTTTTATCACAACTGAAGCTACCACAGGTTCTTTTTCATGTTTGGAAGGAGAGGGTGAGGTGAGGGGTGTTCAGCTGCAACATGACACTTCAACACTAGATATCACAAAATTCTACACACTGTAACTTTAGCCATTATGAAATGTTAATTAAACTAACATTCCTTACTGACAAGTACACAGTGGCAATACTTTGTTTTAAATGGTAAATAGTAAAGGAGGCAATGAATCTGAACATCTTGACTTTTTGTTACTCTGCTCCAGACACATTTCAGTGGTTATCAAGAAGACTTATTGAGAAAGGCAGAATCTATGGCTGAGAGGGTTAGATGCAGTCATTAGTCATTCATTTTTTTATCATTTATGTATTTTTTGGGTCAGTTTTAAAGCAAGAATTGTAAAATGGGCTTGTTTATACTTTTTATATTATGTCTCTGATTTGTTTCTTTTTAAACTGAACATGCATTGGCTCTCTCCAACATGAGGGAAAAAAAGATCAATGTTGTATAGATAACAAGTTCCTGTTATTATGCTCCCATGGCAACCTGTTATGAAGTGTATATGTTTGCATACAAATAGAACTGATATGCAGTAAATGTTACAAAACATTCTTTCAGTCAGTCAGTAACATTATATCTCCCAGGGGCAGTGTTCACGTGTCCCACAATTACAGATCAATCGCTTGGTGGGTTAATATGACCAGAGGCGCCACAATAATCCATCATCATATGTGAGACATCCTCATCATCTGTTAAAACCTCCGAGCTATGGAAAAGACGGATGGCTGGGTGTAGTTCATGCACACTGACTAAGGGCTATTTAAAAAAACATAAATTACCAGTCAGGCTTAATGGAGTTTCCCACAGTAAGGTGAAAACAGAAAAGTCAGTGGTTTTGCCAGAGAACCAGCACACAGTGAGTTGCACAGTTTTATATGCCAGAGGTGGAAGAAACACTTTTTGACAACATGTTGATCTTCAGGTTTCTGCACATGACCGATCCCCCAGTGTGCCGAGCATTTCTGAGTATAATTACTCAGTAAACAGAGCAAGGGTTAGTGTGTCTTAAAAGTGAGGCAGGAGACCCATGTAACTCCCCCCTCGGTCCATAGTCTTTCTGTCTGTCTATATGTGGAACGTATAAATTGTTAACTGTTCTTCTAATCGGCTTCACATTTGGCATGTCTATTTTAAATGGCCTGAGAGAGACAAGTTTCAAGCAATTTTGTCATTCCATACATTCAATATTAACATAGCTACATACTGTAACTTGACTAAAGCCCTCTGTAGCAGCCAATGGGGGCAGGGCAGTGTGCTTTCAGTCTGTGGACAGAGTTGAGCATGTCCTCGTCTACATCCTCGGATAAACTACAGCGGTGGTCGCGACCTGGGTCAACTGCTGGTCAAAATGCTTATATCCATCATAGAAACAACATTCATCGAAATCACTTCCTCTTTAGCAAGGTGTCTTTAAAGTAAAAGCACAATGTTCCTTTTGCTACAATATATAACACAGTATCAAGCTGAATTATGTGCTTTATTTTGAAAAGTTTTGAACTTGAGTCTGAAGATTGTGTCAATTGCTTAACAGACCTCTGAAAACAGCCAACATGCAATGTATAAAAAAATAAGAGCAGATCAGTAAATCATTCAAACTTATATATAAACAACACACGTGAAGAATAATAAAGCAAATTCAGTTTCATTTTATGAAAAACACTGAGTATAAAATGAACCAGATTGGATGAACCCAAAGTTTTCTAACTTCACTCTGCACCATAGTTCAAAACAATGACAAGGAATCATTCTGAAGTAGCTGCAGAGCTTTAACACAGGACTAGAGCTTTAATTGCACTAGTGCCTTTCCTTATACAATTGCTTAAGTATGAAAAGCACGATAAGAGAAGCAACTGATAAAATGACAAATCAATATACAATATCATCTAATCATACAACATACTGTAGCAGAGTTAGCTCAGCCAGATCTCATTTTATATGCAGCTCAAATACTGGATCAATATGAGGTAGATTGTCTATATATAGGCATAACCCTTCTATGTGCGTGTTCGTGTGAGACACATCAATCCACACTGACTTGTGTGGGTGTAATCTCTGTGAAGCAATTCCTGCTGGGAAGCAAGCTGTCTGTGCCTTGTCAGAGTCCAACAAACACTCCCCATAAACACTGAGTCACACACACACACAC